ACTGTTTAAGATGGGGAGGCTTAAGTAATTTTAATTTCTCTAACTTACTTGTAAGTGTCTCCAAATGCAATCTAGGAAACCTAACTATAAAATTGGATACAATTGGAAGGGTAATACAGAAGGACATATCTTATATCTATGTTTGCTTCTGGGTATGGGTTACTGGTTTTTGAAATAACTGTAATAGAATGAAATATATTTCAATGTCAAACTACTTCAAGCTTAATAAAATAGTTCAGAAGCATTTTATGTTTTGACATTGTCTTAGGGACACCCTCATCACAAGTCATTTGAATTTAAGCAGTCCTGGTTCATTTGATAGAGTCTGTGGTTTGTATATTGGCCAGAGTGCACAGCAGCATTTTCTGTGGAAAAGGGCATTATTTACACTTCCAGAGTGAGTATATTGTAATGTTGAAAATGTTGGGTACTTTTTAACTACTTAGAAGTTTTTTTTGTTTTGTTTTTGTTTTTTTTTTTTTTTTGGTCTCTATAATGAATGGCTCTGGGTTTCAGAGGTTAATAGTTTGTTTTTCAAATTAATGCCTCCACAATTAAACTCACCACACCACATCAGTGGGATTTGGATACATGTTTCACTGTGCCTATGGTTACGTTTCAAATACTCACCAAATGTAGCCTTAGTTGTGTTTGTTGTCTAAGAATCTTATAACTTATTTAAGTGAGCCTTTCAGAAGAACATTTTCCATGGGGAATATGTTTGTGTCTATATATGGTTGACCTATTCATTCCATCGCTCTTGGTGCAGTGGAGATGCTGCGGACCTTTGACTTGACAGCCAGTGAAGAATGAAAGTCATCCTCACTGGCTTTGGTAAACACCACCTGAGCTTTCTGTTCTCATCTGGAACCAGAGCTAAATAAAGCCACTTGATCACTTTCAAGGCTCTCACCATGTGGCCAAGAAATCAAGCACTGAATATCCATCTCCAGCTTCTTGGTACATAGCACAACTTCTGCAGCTTCCTCTTGCAGTATTGGGAGTTTGGCTTGTGGTAGCTGGTAAGTGTCTGTGTACAGTTGGAGGAACATAAGTCAGCAGCAGCTCAAGGCTGGATCAGCCTGGGCCAGCTACTCTGCCTCTGCTGCAATTAAGGGCAACCGATTACCAGGGGTCTTTTCCATTTGCTTCCGTTACCCCAAACCATTTCCATTCAACTCCCGCTGAAGTGAACATCTATAGTCTAACAACATCAGCAACAGCTTATGTTATCAAAGGAACAAATCAGTAGTCTTTAAATTATTTCATTTAAAAATAAAATAGGAGAGATAGCTTAGTAGGTAAAGTGTTGTCACATAAGCCTGGGAACTGAGCTGGATCCCAACTTGCCTGTAATCTCAGTGCGGATGAAGTGCACACAGGTCCAGCCTAGCCTAATTGGTGAGCCTCAGGTCCAAGTGGGGACTCTGCCTCATTAAACAAAGTGGACAGTTCCTGAGAACTAATACCTTATGTTGACCACCATAAACATGTACATACATGTACACACACCTCTCTCACACAGGCATTCACAAGCATACCCACACACAAATATTTTTGTAAAATTGAAATTCCCCACCTGTAGACTAATGAAGTGATTTAAAACATTCTTATTTGATTTTTATGAGTGTGGGGGGTTTTGGCTGTGTGTCTGTCTGTGCTTCCATTTTGGTGCCTGTGAAGGCCAGAAGAGGGGCAACGAATCCCCTGGAATTGTAGTTACAATGGTTGTGAGCTGCCAACGAGTTATGGGAGTCACTCTTGGGTCCTCCAGAAGAGCGGCCAGTATTATTAATTACTTAGCCATCTTTTTGGTCCCAAACCAAATTATTTTCATTTGGTGCCCTTTAAGTGTAAAATCATGGAAGAAAGGAAGGAAGAAAGAAAAAAAGAAAGGAAGGAAAGAAGGAAGGAAGAAAGAGCGGTTCTTATGTAAGGTCAAATGAGCCCCTTTCCTTGATCTTCCCGGTGTGGGTTAGTTTTATATCAATTAGACACAAGCTAGAGTCATTTGGGTGGTGGGAACCTTGATTGAGGAAATGCCCCCACCAGAATGGCCTGTGTGTAAGCCTACAGTGCATTTTCTTGATTAATGATTCAAGTGGGAGGGCCCATCTCACTACGTCTTGTACCATCCTTGGGCAGATAGTACTGGGTGCTTTAAGAAAGAAGGCTGAGCAAGGCCTGGGGAACAAACCAGTAAGCAGAATCCTCCATGGCTTCTGCTTCATCCTGTTCCTGACTCCAGTTTCAGGGCCTGAGTTCCTGCCCTGACAGCTCTAAAAGTAAACCCTTTCTTCCACAACTTGCTCTTGGTCATGGTTTTTATCACAACAATAATAAAAGCAAAAGAGAAAAGGAAAAAAAGAAAGAAAGAAAGAAAGGAAGGAAGAAAGAAAGGAAGGAAGGAAGAAAGATCGGTTCTTCAGGTGACAGCAAGCCTGTTGCAGGTAGTCCGAAGTGGGAGACCACGGCTGGAAGAGTGTGAAGGGATGCAACCCATAGCCGAGCTAGAGTGGTCCTGAGGCTGGCGGTTCTCTTTCATGGCTCACCACTCATTGGACTGTGTGGAATATTAGTAGCATCATCATGCAAGTCTATGAGGGTTTCCCTGTCAGTGACGCAAATGCACTGTGAGAAGCAGCAGGGACTTTCGGGGATGGCTCAGATACTTCATTGTTTTTCCATTTATTTTTAAAATGCAAATTACACTAGTAAGTCAAAAAAATCACTCTGTTAAAAATACATTCAGAATTAACAAATGCAAGAGAGGAGAGAGAGAGAGAGGAAAAAAAAAAAGACAGATCAGGGTTATTAACTCTTGCTTTCAGAATATTAGGTTATAACAAAAGCTCAGCCTAGAAAAATAGCATTCTTCACCAGATTTTGAGGAGGATACAGCTGTACAACTTGGATGTTTCCCAGATAGAGTCAACCACACTACTGTGCCTCCTGCTCCTAAAAAGGCCCGCCCTCTGACTACTCTTTAGTAGTCAACAACTGTTTCTGAAATATTTGGTGGCGATGATATAGTGATTTGGTGGAGAGTTGGCTGCAACTTAAAACGAAACATGACGACTTATTTTATTCCCTCCCTACACATGTACTACTTCAAGGTGGAATCCCATTACAATAGCAATATGGTAAAACCTCATTTCAATAGTCACATTAGAATAGCTTCTGGCATGTATAGTATTTATATTTTAGGAATAAAAGGACAATACACTGGTGAATAGTTTTCCTCAAACATTAAACATGCATATCACTATAAAAACACCATATGTGGTTTCACCGACATGTTTGCAACTGTTCACTTTATGCATGTAGGTATGGACCGACATAAACAAGCCACTGGGAAAACTCTAGTGTGAGTGCTGAAATCATTTTCTGCATGTGGTTTATGTGCCAATGGTCACTTTCAGTTTCTTTATCAGGTTTAAATGGGTATGTGGGCACATTTTACAAACATCTATGCAAAGACATCAACTGGCCTGTCTTATGGAGATCTGAAAGTGGGTTAAGATGCAAAAAGGGTTAACCCAGTAAACAAAACTGTAAGTAGCAAAAGAAAAAAAAAAAGTTGCTCCATGCCAACATCTAACTTCACAGTCTGAATTTCACTGCATGTCAAGATGATAAAGAAAACTTGACCTTAGTGTCTCACATGGATCGAAGAAAAACATGACTCATCTGTGTTACTGATAAGCTTGAGCTAATTATGTTTTCCACTAATGAAAATCAAACAGTGCTTGAAAATATAGAACTAAATTTCCTAGGAGTTCAGAATATCCCATAAACACATTGACCCACTATTGTCTCCAAAGGCATCTCATTGCCAACTACGTCAACAGCACAGGTTTTTTTTTTTTTTTCTGCCACAATAATACAGGAGGATTGAAATACACTCTAACACACAACAGATCCCCCAGATACCACAAAGAGATCTCAAAGATTTCACTAAGTTAACTATTGCTCCCCCCACCCACCCCAAAAATAATCTCGTACGCCGAAGTTAGAAAAGAAAGTTCACCTACATTGGGTCTTGGATTTGAATTAGATATAAAAGAGTAAACATAGCGAATACATAGTCAGTTGGCCTCTGTCATAGGAACCCACAGCTCTTTCCTGTGGTAGGAAAAGCCATTTGCTCCTAGAGTGCAAGAAATACAAGCAACCAGTCAAGCCATCTCTGCTTTCAGTAGAGTTGAGTAGATTAATACATTTCACTTGGTTCCACTCCAGCTACATCAGAAGGCCGTGTTCAAGAGACATGAAGATGACAGCTGTGGTTGCCACTGGGACTTGTCTCTTTGTGGCCACGGAAGGGGCTCAGTGGTAAAGCATCATGTTCTTACACAGACACATTGGAGCTGCTGAGAGTTTCCGTCTTGCTCCTTGATGTGAGACAGAGTCAAATTGCTCAGAATTAACAGCAGTGTGTTGGCCTAAAGGAAGTGACTGGGGGACGCCTGCACTGAGAGTCTTGGGCACACAACTCAGGTGGGTTAAGGCAAGTAAGTACAGTATAGCCTTTAGGGCAAAACAACCTGCCATTTCAGATTTGGTACAAGGTCATCACAGCACATTCTGTCTATATATATATATATATTTTTTTGCAATTATGTTGCCTAAGTAGCTGTGGTGCTATCAAGATGTATGGTATGGAATACAGAAAATGGGGTTCCAAACTAGTGTGCCTGGGTTAACTTGGCACCTCACAGAGCCAACAGGTTGGGCTGCGGAGGAGTAAGTAACAGCCTGCAGAGGGCACCAACAACATGTCTCCTTCTCCACCTTCAAAGATGGGGAGAAGGGAGCCTGCTTTAAGGAAATCCAGGATGGGACGTCCTGCATATTTATCAGTTTCAGTCAGATAGAGGAGGTCCAGGGGAGTTGATGTGTGTGTGATCGTGACGGTGGTGTGTGTGACTGTGTGCGCACTCGCACGTGTGTGCTTCCACACATATGTCTATGTAAAACTTCTTGTTTGATCTGGTAACGTGTGTGTGTGTGTGTGTATGTGTGTGTGTTTAAACTCATTTGCTTCTTTCTCTTCATAAAAGGCAGGAGACCACTGCACAAGTCATTTGAGAAGTCCATGGACTGACAGACAGAAGTCATCTGTGTTATTTTGACCTAAGAGAGAGAAAAGATGCTTGTAATCAAGAGAGAATGCTGGATGCTTATTGCTGCCACCCTCGCTTCTCCAAACACAAGAGCAAATGAAAGGAAAGGTTGGGGAAGTAAGGAAACAGAATCTCAAAGTGGGGTTTAGACAATATTTGTCTCCCTTTTATGTCTCAGGGCCATGTCACCAATAGAGGTCACTTATGATCATTCAGCGAGTAGATGAAATGAGTATGGACTGCCAGCAGCTGCCAAAATGATGCAGTGTTTTTTTGCATGCTGTCTAGTACATCACAGTATTAGGAAGGGGACACCATCATGTCCATATGCGCTATGGCACATAGGTCAGTTGGGACTGGAAAACCTTGTTAGAAAGTTAATGAGATGACATGGGAATTTCTGATAGCTATCAATTTATTTTGTATGAGTGTGACAGACTGTAGTTAGGGAGAGAGAACCTTTCTTATTCTTAATTGAAGAATCATAAACTAAGAACACCCATGCAATTGAACTACAAATAAAGAGGGCAGTTTATCCATTGGCTGTGACTGTTGTCAGTGACTTCATGGCTTGATCCAAGAGCCAGGCCACAGATTTGTTTCATGTATCCCACGGCTAAAATTCTACATTGCATTTTAGCATTTGTTTTCTTTCAAAAGAATAGCTTTTATTTCCAGTGGCTTTATAATATTGCTAGGATGCTTGAACTGGCCCGTGATGTTAAATTACACTTACTTTACAAGACATATTTACGGCGAGTTGACATGAAAATGTATACTCCGAATGACGAAGACAGAGGAGGTGCTCAGGGCTCTGCCTCTCAGTGGGGATGAAGCTTATAGGTGAATCAAGTTTGATTTTTCACAAGTTCCTACTAGGTAATGGCTTTCAGAGGACGGACTCTGAGGGCTGCATAGTTGTAAAGCTCTCCACTCAACACTGTATAGTGTAAAGTCAAAAGGAGGTATGGGAGATGGAGAAAGGGGGCAGGGCACATGTATGGAAACATGACGGTCACATTAGCCGTGTGAACCAGTACGATAGAACCAGGGAGGGCAAACGGCAGGCTGGATTCACAGTCCATTTAAGAAATCGAAGAGACATCCAACAAGGCTCAGGAAAAGTGCATGCTGCTCTCAGCAGCACCACTAACAGGTTGGGCGAGTCTTGTTTTCCTCTCTCTTGATTCTATTTCCTCATTTACAAAATAAAATCACAAGGTTTTGTGATGTGATGTTTTCTAAGGGATGTTTTATGGAAGAGGTGAAGGCAGAATTTTGACTAGTAAGTTTCATGTGCCTTGAGTACTCTGAGCACCCTAGACACGGGTCCTGTTAAATGTTTAGACATTCATGGGCAATGGGACTTCAAAGCTGTCCTACCATTGTGCCATTCCCAGGCACTGATGGGGAAAACGATATCTGACTGTTTATTGGGCAGGCAACGTTTTCTATTTAGGAAAATTAGGGAAAGTTTTGTTCTTAGGGAATTTAATTCTTAACAAAGATAATCCTTTTAAAATCCTGGTTTGAAGATTAACATTAGCATTAGAGATGCTTGATTGGAAACAATCTGTTTGATAACAATATACTTGTTCAGGAAATAATGTGGGGAGTGGATAAACACATGCCATCTTTGGGGAAGACAAACGTTTCAGTTTTCTTGGAAAAAAAGTGACTAAGGGAAGCGGAAGCTACCCGAACACTTACGCTCCCAACAAATTAAAAGCTTTAGTAGTTTCAGCCCCAGCATTGTGTGCTCCTAGCACCATCCAACATGCTTATAGTAGTAGGGGTATGAAAGCTACTAGGAGTTGAAGAGTGGATATTTAAATAAAGCATTGTGCTTGTCTCGTAAGGCTGCAGCCAGGCACTCAGGGAATTACTGAGAGCTGTTGGAAAGGAAAGGGAGGGCATCAGTGAGGACTTCAGGCATATTAATTTGGCAGCCATGTGTAGGATGGGATGAGAGTTCAGAAATAATGGAATTGGAGAACTCAATGGTTGCTCATGGATGCTGGAAGTCTGTGGCTTGGGATGTAAAGGAAGAATGTGTGATCTACCGTTTATAGAGGCGATAATGCTGTGGATGGTATGTGGTATTGCTTGATTTCTGAACAGATGCAATCTGTTTATACCAGTGGTGCTATTCAAACACTTGCAGAAGACTACAAGGGACACATGGAAAAAGGCAGGCACAATGCATACATCATTCTCCTTTGAAAGAGAAACTTAGGAGTGTCTCAAGATTAATCTGTTTGGAGTAGAAGTACCCCCAAACTCCATTCATTATCCTACGTGCTGCAGTTATTAAAAGGTAAATGACTTAATGGTGGAGGACAACGACAACAAACACATATCTTCAAAGAGAAGTTCACATTTCAAAATGAATTGGAAGCTTACTTTCTATTTTGATCTTCTCTTGCAATTCAGCATATCACTTGATGCTGAGATATAGAATTTGCTATCAGTTGTTATCCAAGGGGATTTGCCTAAACACAGATATAAAAATCAGGCTCTGATTGTCTGTGCTCTTGAGCGCTACAGTTAAGGCTTTGATCAGCTTCAGTCCTCGTGCTCCAGTTTCATTTTAACCTTCACACTGATAAAGTACGGCTTAGAGTTTGATTTTTTTTTTTGGAATATGTATCTATTACTAGGGTGAGCTAGCATTTATCATCTACATGAACACTCAAGACTAATATGGAGGGCTGATACAACAATATGAACACAACCAGCATCAACTGGGGCTATACTGGGAAAGCCAGAGTTTTGTATAGTTACATGTAACTGCCTATACTGTTAGAATGTTTTCAAAATACACACATTTCAGGTAATTCAAAGAATTGTTATATATTAGAGGCCTTTGAGCCATATAGATGATACTTACATAACACTAAAGAAAACTTTAAAGATGACCTTTTTGATGTCATTTTTTTAAACATGAAGAAAATGTTTTAGAATCATCCTAGTTAAAACAATATTAATCATAGAAAATGAAAATATAAAACCAAGGGAAAGTTGCATGCATTTTTTTGTGCCATTATACATTTACTTGACTATCTTTTCATACACTAGAAAGATACTTTCCAAGTCAAGTACTTACATGTACATTGGTTGTAGTTGTAAGTGAGATGTCTTCTGAGGCCCTTGATATCCATAAGAATCAAAGCCACCTATGAAGTCAACTGAAAAGGGACAATTGCATTTGTTAGTTCCCTTTTCAGAATATATAGAAATGAATGATCAAGGTCCTCACAAATTACTAACATTAACTTTAAAATAATCAAATAAGCTAAGACTAATGATCAAAGAGCATGAAAAATAGTTTCTTCAAGGTAGTGATTTTCTTTCTTCAACAATGATATTTAATTATTGCTTTAGAGCTTTCTTTATACTTTGCAGAAGGTAGTTTGCATATTTATCAAGTAACAAAGACATAAGTGAACTTATAAAACTTCATTTGCACATTAGATGAAATATGAACTTTTGGTTAAAGTGGAGGAGTTTGGGGGAACACATTACAAGTGTTATAAGATGAAAACAATCGTAGTCAATTCCATGTATCTGTCCAGTTGCAGCAAATTAATATTATGTATTATAATGACCAAGTACAGAGTACTGTAGTTGAATATTACATAAATTAACTCATCACTATGCTTGCCATCCCATCATATGGATTATAATCTAAAACAATAAGTTAGATGTGGAACTAGGTCTAACTAATCAATGCATTGTATACCCAGATATCAAGTGAAAGACCTAATCAAATACAAGAATCACTATGGCAGATAGTATTTTCCAAAATGCTGAAAGAACATTGCCTATACCACACGTTCTTACAAAGTAACATTGGTTATCTTCCCATCCCATGATTTTGATTGCTATCATTTCCTCTCAAGCTTAGATAGAGGTGTTGGGACAGGTTTGAGTCTTGCAGCAAGGATGCTATATTTACTTTAGAGCTAGATCATTAAGGGTCATTTATTTTCTTCTTTTTTCCTTTGGTGGGCTTTCTTTTTATATAGCCACCATACTATGAAGAAGCCCAAGCTAGTTTACACTGAGAAATGAGAAAATGATTAGAACACACATATTTAACCCATTGTCTAGCTGAGGTCCTAGCCTATAGCTGCTATCCATGTCCAGACATATGAAAAAATATCTCTACCTGATTACAGACTCCAGCTGTTGAGTCCATACAGTCTTGCGGTACTCCTAGCTCAGTTGGTCTCCGCCATCATAGAATGTAGATAATTCTATCACTATGCCATTCCTGTCTAAGTTATGAATCTTCAGGAATTTTTGGTTTTTATATTTGAGACAGAACTTTTCTGTGTAATCCTGAGTGTCCCAGAACTCCCTCTATAGCCCAGACTAGCTTCAAATCGGAAATCTATCTGCCCCTGCCTTCCACGTGCTGGGATTACAGCATAATAAATGCTTACTTTATAGCACTAAGCTTTGGTGAATCAATCAAGCAAACAAGCAACAGCAACAACAAAACGGGAAGGGTGGAGACTTCTGTGAAAAAGCTATGCTTTGCCTTCTGGTTTTTCAGGTGCTCATATTGAGGCTGTGTCATGAAATGGGAGGCAAAAACTATAAAGGGCCTACAAAGAGATTACAGCAAAGAGAAAGACTGGAAAATAGAGACTAAATTAGAATTGACTCAGAGACCTTCGTTTTTCTAGTAGTTTATTCTGTTGGCTTATGTTATCTTCCTTTGGTTCTCTTGTTAATACCCTAGAGTAGTACAGACAGAAAGTCCAGCAAAAAGACTGAGATAACATTAAGTCTATGAGGTGTATGCAGTAGGAAATCTTCCCCTCATGAAGGATGTTATTCTTTAGTGTGATATAGGTATAGGAGTCATTATACTCCTTTTTGTCATATTCACATATCCACAACTTCTCCAAATATTAATATTCCCCTTCAGAGCTGTACATTAGTTACAACTGATTAACCTACATTGCTATATCATTATCACCAGAAGCTAAGAGTTTCCTCTAGGGCTCACTCTTGGTCTTGAAAAACATATATGGGTTTTGAAAAATATATATGGCATGCAACTACCAGTATAGTATAAAAAGTAGCCCCATTGAGTGAAAATGTCCCTGTACTCCATATAATAGCCTTATTTCCTAGCTCCTGTGGCAACTGATCTATTTTGTATATCAATAATTTTACTGTTTTACAAAATATCATAGAACTGGAAGCATATATCTTTTAGCAAATTATTTAAAGTCTTATTTGAGTGTGAGTGTGTGTGTGTGTGTGTGTGTGTGAGTGTGCATCTGCATGCTATTTTGCATCTGTATGTCATTGTGCACCGCTAAAGATGTCAGAGGACAGCTTTGCGGAATCAATTCTCTCCTTGTCTTTCTGTGGATTCCTGGGATTGAGGTCCTGTCACCAGGTTCCTGTGTCAGTATGTATCTATTGTGTTGTCCTGCCCATATATATATATATATTACTAGTATCTAACTGACTTCTTTCACTTCAAGTTTCTTCTATGTAATGTTCAGTTGGGTATGGAAACTGGTGCACATGTTTGTACAGGTGCATATGTGAACATGTGTGTAAATGGATTTGGAGTTTTCCTTGGTTCAAGTTCCACCTTGGTTTTTGAGGCAGGGTCTCTCAGTTTTACCTGAAACTCAGCTAAGCTGCCAGTATTGAACCCTAAGGATCCATCTGACACTTCCTCCTCAGTGCTGAGACAGAAATGTATACTATCACATCTATTTGCGCTTTTTCCCCCTGAGATTTTACAGTGGTGCTGGGGAGCAGACTCGGGGCTTTATGTTTGCTGGCCAGATAATCCATGGACTGGGCTATCTCCCCAGACCCTGTTTTGTTGGTGTGTGTGTGTGTGTGTGTGTGTGTATGTGTGTGTGTGCACACGCGTGTGTGTGTTATAGCGTGGCAGTGGTTTTCATTTTAGGATTGGGAAACCCTCTCCCTCCAGTTTGAAGCAGACTCTCTTTTCTCATTTAGAGTGGGACAAATTCCCAATTTGAGATAATTTTTTAAACTCAATCCAGCATTTTATAAAAGAGTAATAAAAAAAAGAGAGAAGTGCTTTCATTTGCAGAGCACACAGAGTAACACCCGAGCCCCTGACCTTCTGCCACTGTGCTCTGCATGTCTCATCACACCATCCCACTCTGAATGACTGTGACCCAAAGGCAGACAGGGGCCTGGTACACGTTCCAACATGGGTTGGTCTCTGAGAAAAGAAAAGTCTTTGTATATGACTAAGATGGACTTTTGTCATTTCACACACGAGGAAGCAAACTTAAATTAGGAGTGGAGGGCATGTTTTATACTGTTTATTGCTTGAAATTCATGCCAAAGACCAACAGCCTTGGAAGTTGTGTGCCATCAATTTCTGCTAAGTTAGTCTCCTAAAGTGTTTAGATGATTCTATATATGATCTGTGGAACAAGAATCAGATGGATCTAGTGTATCACACAGTTAAGTTTATGGTTGTTGCTGTAGTAGGTAAATCTGATTATTCTTTGAACCACGTGCAAGTGCCTTTGGGATGCCACGGATAAAGAGAATTTCAAAAGTTGAATTACTTGTGGACTAGCTTAACTTTGAAAAGGCCAGAGGAACAGTGAGTTTGCTGTGAGATTTTGTCTTTTAGGAATGTCAGGAGTGTTATTCATAAAAGTCTAACCAACATGGCTGCCTAAACAGAACCTGAAAAAGGATAACACCAATAGGTATGCTAACGTGGAAGGGCCAAAGATCACAAGGCCTCATCTTTAGACAAAGTATTATAAGCAACCAAGGAATGCTGGGACTCAGTGGGGAGCACTTTGATGGTTATCCAACACTAAATTGTCAGCCATTTGTATTGGTTGAAAAAAATGTATACTATAACATTGTACAAACTTAGCAGGATATATTTATGTATTGAAGAATTTTTATATCTATTTATCTATGTATCACATACCTATCATCTATCTATCTATCTATCTATCTATCTATCTATCTATCATCTATCTATTTATCTACATATCTACTTATCTGTCTCTCTCTCGCTATCCATCTATATCAGTAATAACCATTAAAGAAAAAGATGCCATGAATTTGAAAAAGAGTAAAAGGTCTGGTAGATGACAGCAGGAGAAATGATGTAATTATGTTATAACCCAAAAGTAAAAACAATGAAAAATAAGACTAAAACAGAAAAAAAATACCTTAATGGCACATTGGCCTATTTTAAATTTCTTTTACATGATTATTTAAGTGCCCAAGGTAACACCATCTTGTCTTGATATTAGCCTGATCCATTTTGTGCCTGCCCATGTGCTTTTCAGACCCTGACCCCGCTGAAAAGTCTCACCGATGTTGGCAACACATGCATGGTCCAAATGCACAACCAAAACTACATGCTGAAGTGTGTACCCCAAACCAGTATTACCAGGTTCTCCTGACCTATACCCGACAATGATGCCATTGTGGCTTTTGCTTGATAAGTGCTGCTCTCTGAGTTGCAGCACTAGTAGTCTTTCTATAGTGTTAACCTACTCTGGGTGGCTGACTCTAATTTGGCTTTAATTGCGTTGTGTTCTGCAACTTTCTCACCGGAACTAAAACAATTATATTGAACAGATAGCACATGGAGGCTAATGCACAATCTGAAACTTGAATGAATGATGGGGTTATGAAATATCTAACCCATCTTTCCCATGTAGTTGTGACAGCAGATAAATGTTAGGGCCATAATTTATGTCTGCATTTTTATCTTTTAGAAAAACAGTACCTTTTATCACTAAGAAGTCTCCTCAGTTCTTGAAAGAAAAAGTAAAACAAATTTGTGACTATTTCTAACTGCAGAATAGTTGCTCAGACCCTCTCAGTTTTTATCACCTGTCTTTATAAAGCAGTAATAGTTATCTTTAAAAAATATAGCCAGGTTTTTGCTCGAGGCAATGACCAGCTGAGAATGGGGTTTGAAGCCAGGCATTTTGTTTTCTTCTTACATACACTGGAACCTGATGACTGTCCCTCGTTCATGCCTATCTAGTAAATCCCTTTAAGGCTTCCAAAAGTGATCAAAGGGACAAAATCACATGTTGTATTAAAGCTAAACCTTCAGCCTTTTGTATTCCTTTTTATTATTCATTAAATAAAAATTTAGAGTTCACTAAGTTACCTAATAGTTGTAGAT